TATTCACTCAAAAACACACACACAAAAAAAAAAAAAAAGCTGCACGTTGGTGCGCGTGTCTCGCCCGAAGATAACAAAATAAGATACACTCGTTACAGTCGTTTAAACCCCCGGTGCCCACAAATCATTTATATTCCACTGGGACACTCGGCGTGGTTTCGTGCCCCCCATTCCATTGTCTCGTTTATTAGCCGGCGCCGTCGGCGTGACACACAAAGCCGAGCGCGCCTCTGGTCAAACAAACAAACAAAAAACAAGAACACTGAGTAGATCCCGCCGTTGTCGGAGGACCAAAAGACGGGGGGAAAATAAAAAAACAAACAAACAAAAACCACGCGATGATGGCCTCGGGGGGAGCATGCTTCCACATGGAGGAAGGGGCCTGCGCGGCGAAGGGATCGTAAAAACAAAATAAGTAAAAAAAGCGTGCACGAGAAGTGGCAACTATTCCAGAAGGTGCGTGGGGAGACGCAAATGTCCCCACCGGAGGCAGGGGCCCCGCCGCGTTACGCCCCGTAAAGGGCCGAAAAGCCGCACAGCCCCAGCAGCAGCAGCAGCACCCGAGACACGCCCCCACGCATGGAGCCGTCACCTTTACCTTTTTTGGCGTCGCTTTTCCTGACCAGTTTTAGTTCACCGAAACTCAGTGGGCGGTCGTACAGAAAGACGTTCGTCACCGTCACATCGCTGCCGCTGCCTCCCTCGTCGCTCCCAATGTAGAATTGTGGGATTTCAAACCCCTGCGTCTCAAGTGTTGGTATCGTCTCCGGGCTCCCCACAATCACACCATCCACGTACACGGAGCCCTTGTTGCCGTCCTGCAGCATGAGCGCCACCTGGTATTCTCTCCCCGGCTCCCACGTGCTCCCCGGTGCTGTTTTTGTGCCGTTGAACACCTTCTCCCACTTTTTATTCATGCCGTACGACAGCCCAATGATCTTCTTGCCGGCACCGTCCCCGAGACCCGCACCCAGCAGAGGAGTGCTCCCCTTCGGAACCTGGTGGATGGTCACCGTCGCCACAAGAGTGAATCTGTGGTTCACAAAGCCGTACTGTTTATTAGGTCCCCACCTGCTCATAGACCACATTGCCCTGGACCCAGGCGCCGTGAACTTAAAGCCATTTTTGACCTTCGCTGCCT